TGCCCGGGACCCCGCCGCGGGCTCCCGGCACATTGTCCGCCGTTTATGGCCTCTCCCCTCCCCCCGCCGGGTATTTCCTCACTTTTTATAACTTACTTTGATCCGGCCTCTCTTTGTCCTCGCTTCCTTCGCAAATTTTATTGTCCCCGTAGCCGGCCCGCGGAGTCGACAGCACGGCCTCCCTGCCCGCCGAAGTTTCCAAACTGTACTCGGGCGGGCCCGCCTTGAGCAGCTCCCCAGGCGCGCCCAGCAGCGGCTCTGCCTTCACGGCCGCCTGGCCCTGGCCCTGGCCCTGGCCCTGGCCCTGGCCCGGGGCCGCCTCGGCGCGCGGCGCGGGCTCCAGCCAGGTGCGGAGGTACCTGCTCTCGGCCGCGGGGACGCCCTGGGGCTGCAGGTAGGGGTGGTAGACGGACGGCAGGCTGCCGGACGCGTGCGGGCTCAGCGGCGCCCACGAGGCGCCGAACACGGGCGCCTTGGGCTGGAAGCTGCACGAGGGGAAGTCCAGGTGCTCGCCGGGGCCCGGCTGCCGCGGGCTCGTGTACTGGCCCGAAGGAAACTTGGCTGGAGGCGCGTCCTCGCTCTCGTGACTTATGATCGAGTCGACATAATAGCTGCTAAGGGTCCCAGAAATGGACATTCTCAGACATTATCCGGGCGCTCGCCGGGGGGAAGGGGGACGCGCTCGGCTCCGCGGCGGCGCCCGAGCAGGGAGAAGGTGGCACCCGGACCCGGTGTGAGGGCTTTTCGGACGCGACCCCCCGGCCCCCCACCCTCCCACCCCCACCCCCGGCTCAACTTCTCAGCCAACAAAGTACAGTGGAGCAGCCTGGCTCGGCGCTCCGTGCAAAATGATTGGTCAAAGTTTTTCCGACTGCCTGATAAAGCGTCAGCTCCGACATCAATCAATCGGGCGAGGGGGCTGCGCTCTCGCCGTCATCCGTCCGCACCCGCATTCCATATCGAGGATGGATGGCTTTATGCTGATGCAATGTGCTACCACGTCAGGGCTCCGGCGGACACGTAACCTCAGCCCGAGCCGCCGGTCGCCCGTCCCCCCCCCATACCCCCCTCCTTTGGCAGGAAGCGCGCGGGAGGTGGGGGGGGGGAGTTCTCGACATGGGGCGGCGGGGGCGGAGGGAAAGCCGCGGGCTGCCTCGGGAGGGACCAGACTGTGGAGCCCTCTCCCCAGGCGGGTCGGGGCGAGAGGGAAGGAGGGAGCCCCAGCCTGGAGAGCAGCCCCAGTGACCCCACAGGAGAATTAAGGAGAAGGTGGTTCTGCCTCCCCCCTTCTCACCGCCCCCCTCCTCCACCTTCACCTCCACCTCCACTTCCACCCCGCAGGCCCTGGCTTCCTCTCTGTCCCCTTGACAGAAGATGTTTATTATTAAACAACATCAGCAACATCAATCCACTGGAGAAATACAAGGGATGGGGACAAGCAGCGGGGGCTGTTAGGGGACACCATCACGGGCTGTGGAGGGACCCTCTGGGCGCTATTTGGGGGAAGTTTCCCCGGCCCAGGCTCCCAGAGGTCCCCTGAGTCCTGGCAGGGAGTGGGCATTCGGGGATCCTACCTCTGCCCTGAAGTGGGGACCTGACTGAGGTGAAAGGGATACATCAGGCCCTGGACACTTGAGGCTCTGAAAGAGTTTTACTACAAAAATCCAACACCTCTAAGCACACAAGGGAGCCACCTCGCTTCGGCCTTAGCCAAAGGGGCAGAGTGGGCCAAAACTTCCTTCCGCCCTCACCCCTAAAGTTGCCCAGATCACGGGGGGCTAGCTACCAGGGAGACTCAAGAGAGCCTCCCTGAGATGGCCCCAGAGCAGAGGCACAGGGAGGGGACCCGTTATCTCTATTTCCACCCCATCCCCAGTGGCAGCCTAAGGCCCACTGCTCAGCTCACCTCTGCACGCCTCTCCTTGGGGCTGGGGGCTTCTCCCAAGTGACTCCCAATACGGAAATGGGGGGCGGCAGACTGGACGCCCGGCTGGGTCGCAGTCTCTCAGACCTCCCTCTGCCTCCCCTCCCGAGGAGCCAGTCGCTGGAGCTTCAGAACAGCTCGCTTTATTGGCATCCACTCCGGCGGCCCTGCGCTGAGAGTCCCGCGGGGCCAATGCTGGCTCCCTGGCTCGCCTCCCAGCGTCGCTCTGCCGCCCCTTTTCCCGAGTGCAGCTGCTTCTGTGGCGTGGGGCGCATGGGGAGACCCGGCCACGGAGCCGACCCGGTTCTGCCTGGGTTCGGCCCTGTGGAAGGGTGAGTCGGCCTGGAATTTCTCTCTCGGTAATTCTCAGACCCCGGGTTGTCACACAGCAGGCTGCCCTCAGCGCCCTGGCTTCGCCCCCCACCCCCAACCCCAGCCCAGTGCTTTTTAACAAAGTGGGGGCGGCCGTTCTAACTTGGGGGGCTTTGGGGTCCTACGCCTGGGCCCTGCGGAAGGCTGCGGCAGCTCACCTCTGTGCAGGCACCAACACATTCCCGCCCCGCTTTTCTTTCCAAATGAAGCCATCTCGTGTCATTACGTGTGAAATACGAGGGCGAAGCGCCATATTTCTTCACATTATGGCGATTTCAAAATGATTTTTTAAAGATCAATGCCGGCGCCCAGCCGGCCCCCTCCTTCTCAATTCCCCGGCTCTCCAAGGGCGGCAGCCCGGGATCCGGAACCAAGCAGCGTGACGCTGGTTTTTTTCCGTGGGACCCAAGGAGGGACACAAGCAGCTCATACCAATTCTTCTAGGAAACAGTTAGATGCTTGGGAAAGTCAGAGGGAGCCCCGAGCCTCACCAGCGAGGGGAGCAGGGCGTAGAGCGAATGAATCACAGTTAAGGCAGAGCACCTGTTCCCGATTTGCCAGACCAGACATAGGGAGTCTGCTGTCAGCTTTACCTGTAATAAATATATTCTTTAGGGAGAGAGAACAAAAAAAATACCTCCCTTGCCATAAATAACAGTGTTATGAAGCATGTCAAACTGAGTATATGATTTCCTGTGGTATATAAATTCAGGGCCCAAAAGGGCACGTGGAGAGTGGGCTGGGTTTTTTATTTATGGAAAAGTCAGCACCCTAGGTGTGGAGGATCAGGGCTGGGCAGGCACTGGGCTGAGTGTGGCTTCCCCGTTGCCGTTGCCTATCTTTGCAACAAGGGCATCAGGAGGGCCAGATCAGTTAGGGAAGAAGTTATAAGAGAAGGGGCATTGTACCTTAAGGAAGGTGACATATCTCAGGGGCAGAGTTGGGGCTGCAAGTTGCTGAATGCCCCCCCCCCCCTGTCCCCTGGATGCTGAAGGAGGGTCTCAGACCTCTTTTCTTACTGTCAGAGTTTAGACTTTCCTCACAATGATACCAGAGAGAGGACAATTTTACCAAGAGAGATTTGGAGGTCTCCATTATCTGAGAAGAGGTGGCTGGGGGTGGGGTGGGAGTGAACTAGTTCTGGCATCTTCCTCCAGCTGGTCTCCCTCAGGTGGGAATGCAGGTGGGGTAAACCCAGCCTTGAGTCTCCTTCCAGGCAGTGTTGTTGCACTCCACCAACTGGAGCTCAGACCAACAATTATGGGTTCAGCTGAGAGGGAGCCCCTTGCTTGTGTGCTGAGATACCTCTCCTCTCTCCTCCCGCCCTCAAAAAAAAAAAAAGATCCTGTTTTCTCTCCCAGACAATGTTACTCATCTTGAGCGAGTCCAGGAAACAGGATTGTAACTTCTGGTGCCCCGTTCGAAAGATGTGTCATAGAGGGGTCACTTTGTCCAGAGAGAACAAAGCTTCTCCCCACTGCACCCCCAAGCCTAAAGAGAAGTGAAGGGCATCCCTGCAGCCTCTTACCATTTCCTGCACAGGAGCTGAGCCTGAGGACAGCTGGGGCTGGTAGCTCAGGGAAGAGCAGGCAGGCAAAAGCGACAGACCCTGGTCACACTGGGGCCCAAGGCAGCCACCAGTGAGCGGGGCAAAGTCCGGGAGAGGAGAGCGGAGACTGACTCCCAGGAAACCAGCCGGCGAGTGTGTGTGTACTTTGAGAAGGGCTTTTGGTAAGGATTTCTTTACTGGCCAGGAAGAAGAGAGACATTTTAACAGGAGGTAAGCAAAGGGAGAGTGGGGGGTGAGGGGGAATCAATGGAAAAACAGAAGCTAGAGAGACTTTGCTTTTAATTAATAAGCTATTCTGAATTGTAAGCATGATGTATGCAATTCAATGTGTGTGTCCTGTGTAATTTTAAAAATCAAGGTTTCTTTATGGGGAGTCCAATGTGTAAAGGCGCCTTGTGCTATATTATGTATAAAACATGTAGAAAATCTATTGACCCAACTACAATACTGAGTGTGTTTGAGTGCTCACATCTGGGTCTGTAATTGTGCTCAAATAAGAAAATCTAGAACCCAAAGGCTTATGTGTACATTTTTATAGTCATCACACATCCATGGAAAAGGGGGAAAAACTTGTGTAATTCAGTACTTAAATTGTAGCTATGAAATTTTGTCTGATTTGGGAGCCTTGCTTAGAAAATCTGCCCCTCAACTTGATCAAGTGAAATGTATGCTGTGTCCTCAAACCCATGTGTGTGATTTCATCCAGATTCCAGTACAGTTTCCTTCCCAAATCATTGTCTGGAAGGTGAAGGGAGCATCTCAAGTTGGCTTAAAAAAAGTCATGAAATGTGTGTGTCCAATAAGGAAATCCATTATTGTACAATGCCGCTTAAGTTGTAGGGACAGTGTGTCGTGTATGATGCTTCTTTCAGAGTAGTGATGGACACAGAGAGGTGGGGGCACCATTACCTCTCCATGTGTCTGTCCTGCACAAGTGTGGCAGAGAGATGAACAAAGAGGAGCTGAGCCTGAAAGCCCTCCACTGACTGTGGAGTCAGGCAAAAGCATCGCTGTGTTGTGTACAACGAATTAGAAAGACCCCGAATCTCTGTCTTCAAGCCCCAGAGGCATTTCTTCTGACCCAGGATCAGAGGCCAGGCCCGCTTTGAGAAAGAGTGAGGTTTCATGGTTAAAACATGGAGAAAGACACACTCATTCCATGGTTAAGAAGCCAAAGTCCCCAGAACTCTCACCCTTTTACACAAAACGGGTCCTCAACCAGAGTTCACATCTAATCTGCACACAGGTTCAACCCTTAATGCTTCCACACCCCCAGAATGGAGCTCTTAATTATAAAGCAACGAAATTTTCTGCCAAACCACCCTCCCAGGATGTCAGAGGTGAAGGGAAGGATGGAGAGGTCAGTGGCCTAAGCAGACCTTGTTGGGATCTTCTTACCCACTCTCAGCCATAGGATTTCCAAGGTGGTGATGGCTGCTGCCTTCTTGGCTGGTGGGGTGGTGTGGTGGTGGTGGGTGTATCCAGGAGACCAAACGGGGTGGGCAGCAGGCGGGGCAGAAAGGAGCCAGGCAGGTAGAAGGTTATTACGGAATTGCTTCCATAAAACCTGTGGCTGTTGTAAAACTCCGCTTCCAAAGACTTTATTTCCTCTTTTCTCTCTGACATCCCCCTTTTTTCTTTTTTACAGCACTTTTCCTGGGAGGGGGCGGTGGTCGAGGGATGGCAAGTATGGAAGACAGTCAGGCTCCCAAGGGGCCCCCCCGGCAGGTTTGTGAGCAGCCAGCGAAAGTAAGGTAAGGCAGCAGGGCTG